TGCAGGAAAGGCTGACAACAAGCTGCTTTTGGGGGGGGTGTTGCTCAGTGCGGGAACCCTGCCATCCAACCATGCCCCTCCCATAAGTATCCTCATCGTTGTGGAAGGCTAACAAGAAGGTGTGGAAACACTACTTTCCTACCCCGCCTTCGGTTGCCCGACGCCAGTTTGGGGATCTCCAAAGATGAACTTAGAACCGTCAAAAGGAGAAGTTCCGTTTGAAGAAGCCCGGTCAACTGGAGAAACCCGCCACACCCTCCGGACCCGAGGCGCTCCGCGCCGCCGCGCTCTCCACGGCCTCGTGGGCCGCCGTGGCGCCCAGGAGCCGCTTCGGCGCCGAGCCGCGGAGCTCCAGCAGCAGCCAACTGGGCGCGCTGCGTGGAAAATCGCGCGGCGCGGGTCCCACGATTTCTGCGGGTGGCTGAAAGGAAAATCGCGTAGAGGAGAGCCAAAGGAAATCGGTGTGAGCTGATTTTGACAAGACAAGCGGCAAGCTGTTTGGAGCCGTGTAGACAAATAGTTCAACTTGGCAGGCTTTGAAAATTGGGTTTGTATCCAATTCAGGACCAACCCCAAATGGGTGCCCAAAAAAAGGGGTTTACTTCATACCCGAAGCCACCAGTATAGTGGACGTTTGGAAGACTGGGTTTGTTCAGGGGAGCCACAGCAAAATCGGAGTTGGCAGAAGCAGGTGATGAAATGTAAGCAATGCAGGAAATGCAATTCCATTCCAGAAGAGAAAGTGGATGCGAAGGATGATGCAGCGTTGAAAAGAATGCCGGTGATTCAATGTGGCTGATGCTCGTGACATCGGAAACGCAAATGATGCTGGTGATGCAGCCTATTCGCAGCTCAAAATGCAGGGGATACAGGAGTGCAGGAGATGCAGGGCGCGGCAATGCATGCTGGTGATGCGGACAAGTTTGGTGCTCAAATGATGTGGTTGACGTAGTCAATGAAAAATGATGCCCATGATGCTGGCGATGCTAGTGGTGCTGGAGGTGCTGGTGATGCTGGTAATGGTGGTGATGATGGTGATGCTAGTGATGATTGTGATGCCTGTGATTAGTTGTGCACTTGTGTGCGTGATGCAATGCAATGCAAGCTCGACGCAGGAGTACACACTTTAGCCGAACATTCAGGCGTGAAGTTCAGACCAGCTTGCAAAGTGTTGTTGCTTCCATTCAAATTCGCTTGTACATGGAGCCCTTCAAACAACTGTTTCTCGCAGGTTCGTGTAAGGGGAAAAAGAAGCCAAAGCGCATTTGAGTGACCATTCTGCCAAGCTGGGTCTGTCTCTGTGGCTCCCGGCTTTGGCCCTGTCAGCACCCGTGCGTGGCAGCCAGCGCTTTGGGCCACCTCGTGAGCTGAAAAGAACGGCCAAGGAATTGCGACCCATCCGTCCCCGCCTCGTCCAAGCCTTGTTGCAGGAAGGGCAGGAGGCTGGCAGGCACCAAGAGGCTCGTGCAGGCTTGGACCTGAAAAACTCAGCTCTGAAGATCGGGGATGGCTCGAATGATATATTTGGGGACGTTTCTGGTTGGACATTTTGAACACCTAATTGCATGGGAAGCCTATGTCCGCTGTGCTTGAGCATTTTCCCCAATGGCACGGGATGAGAGCCTCTGGAAAGAGCTCGAGGTCGTCCACGATCAGCTGCAACACGCAAATGCACTTGGCGATGGTCGCGCCGAAGATCTCCTTGCGACGTCCGAAGCGCGGCTTCGGTGATTTCTGGGAAAAGCCTCGAATGCTGCAAACGGACAGGCAGGCCACTTAGCACGTGAACAAGATAAACCGCTGATATGGAATGACTGCAGATAAAAATGGTCTGGAGTTCCAGCTCCGAGCCGCTACGACAGACCGGGGACTTCCATTGCAAACTTCCGCATCGGCTTCGCGGGTTGAAACCAGCGCAAGCTCCTGAGGGCGGAGCAAGCTCGAAGACAAACTAAGGTTCGATTTCTGACAACTTACTCACTCAAAAAATATCTAGCCCAGGCTCTCGAAGCTTGTGGATCTTGTTCCCGCGCTTGCCAATGAGCCAACCACATTCCTCCGAGTCACACGTCTGCTCAATATGCATGCTCCTTCTGGGCCCGCTTGCAAGGGAAGCATAGAGGGTCAACCCGTCGGGATTTCCTAGTTAAACCAACCGAGGAGAATCGCCAACGTGTCAAGACATTGGGCGGCCGTGCTGCGGCGCTCCTCAGCTGAGACCAGCTGCCGTACCGCGATGCGAGCATTCCGCGCCTCACACCGTCGCAAAGGCGCACTGCAGTTGTTCGAGCTGAAGATACATGGGTTTGTGATCTTCCGTTTTGTGGTTACTGAAAAGAAAAAAAACTCAACATCCAAGAAATCCCGGGTACAAAGATCTACAAGGCACCTTCGCAAGTGCACACGCGCCTCTCGCCGCGATAAGGCTGCCAGGCCCGGTCCCAGTGAGCGCTCGCGGCCCTCCTGGCAAGAGCTGAGCACAGCCTAATCACCTTGGCAGAGGTGTGATCTAGGCAAGATCGCATCACTTGAATGCGCAAACTTCGCGTTGAAAGAAAAATCCAGAATGATGGCTCCCAACAAGGGTGCAAATGCGTGTCATACAACGCTGGCATGTGCCCATTCGCTCCTCCGGAGCTCCCACCGAAACCTCTTGCAGCTCGAAATGCCGAAGGCTTAGAATGCCGATCTGGGCAAACTCCACCAGCACCTCGAAAGTACGCAGCTGGGCGACAAGTGAAAGCAGGCCGTCCAGCCTCGTGTATGCGAGCAACGGCCTCCGCCAAGTGGCAAACCAACCTTAGGAAACCAAAGCTCCACATTCGAATGTGGGGCTGTGCATTGTTCTTTGGCTGACATGCTGTTGCACACATGCTCACCACCAACCGATGTTCAGACATGGTGCCCATTGCACTTCACCCGCCGCTGCGCTGCGATTCCAGCCACATTGCCAGGAGACAAGTGGATTTCCTAAGCAGCAAGAGGGTCGCTCAAAGCATGCAACTGAATGCTGTAAAGCAGCAGTCACTTCTGCAACTTGACAGCGATCTAAGGCTTGCTCGCAACGCGACTCCTCTCTTAGCAACTTGATTCGGTCACCACGAGCGCCGATCAGGTGTCGGCAGGCTACTTCTGGAATCATCACCTGCAAAGACTCTCGTCTCAAATGACCTTTGACTCCGGCGATTCCTTCAAAAGCCAAGGTAGACAAGTCATATGAGCAATGCTTCCCCGGGTGCCAAACAGCTAAACATTAGAAAGCGAGTTCAAGTTCACTATGCATCTCTTCTGGCCGTCCCCGTCGCAAGCTGGGCCTCCAAAACATGCGTCTCCGTGTCTTCCTTGCGCACGCTCCCAACCTGCAAGCGAGCTGCAGATTGCGCTTGTCTTTGGGTCAATCGCAGTGAATTGAACTTTAGACGGCAAGATAAATATCCATATTATTCGGTTACAGGTGGAGGAAGCACAACAAAAAAATCAGGGGCTAGTAATACCAATGTTGTGTCATATGAATAGATGTACGTATAAATACTCAGTTTTTGTTGGCCAAATTTTAGGGGAAATCCACATATGGAAGAACAAAATCGAATAGAATAGTTTGCTGATGGCAGGCGCTCACCCCTCGCCTGCCGTGGAGTGTAGGCGCGCTCCAGCAGGCTGTTGAGTGCCCGGCGCAGCCTCACGCCATCGTCTGCCCAAAGCACCTGCGGCCCAAGCCCTGGTTGGCTGCGTCCACTTCCAATTGTTGGAAAGAGGGCATCCCAACACAGATCCGTTTGCTGCAACCAGCCTGCTTTCCCTCACTCTAATCAACAAAGGGAAACCAACAGAAAGAAAAACCCTTTGTTGAACCAACGGACAACGCAAAGACAAGGCAGGGTGAGACAAATCCCTTTGCCTCGAGCCCAAATTGCAGCCCAGCTGCGGCCAGGAACTCGTCTCGAGCTCGGAAGGCTGCTGGCAGCAAAGGTCCTGAACGCCACCCCCCCCAACGGCCCGCCCACCTACAAAAGCGATAAGACGATCTTTTGGGGCTTCCCCCCCCAAAAAAAAAACTTCCAAAAGGTTGGAGTCATAGATGACTAAACTACTAGACTTCTGTTTCCAACCACCCTCTTGTCATCTGTGGTTCTAGTTACATCTTTTGGGACCTGCCCGGAACTGGGCTTTGCTTTACCAGTCCTCGCAGCAGCTGCACATTGGCACCGCTGGCCATGCGCAGCCGCTTCAGGTTCTCCTCCCCATGATCGCCCAGGACCTGCATTCGTGGGACAAAACGACCTGCCGGCTCCATGCAAATTGACATGGAATCCAAGAACGGTGTCCTTTCAAGCCTCTTGCCAAGGAGACTCCAAAAATAAAATGATGGCAAGCTGTTTTGGGTGTTCTATGTTTATCCGCAGAGCACTTCTACCCAACCACCTGAAGCCAGCCAAATCCGCACGCTCGGCGAATGAGCCTGCTTCACCTGCCATTGGCTCAGCAGCACACGGCAGGGCAGGTCGATGGCATTCATCGATCCAGGCCATTTCCAGGGCCAAACCCAAGTAGAATGGCTTCTAATATGGGTTTGTCTCAAGATACGGGGGTTTAGGGTTGGTTCACACAAAAGCAGAGGCAAACGAGTGAGTCAAAATAGGGAGACCCCTCAAATGAGAACTTCTCTTTTGAGTTCCCTTAATGAAAAGAATGAAAGAGGATTTCGTCAAAATGGCCCACCCAGATTTCTGCTGGCCTTCAAACCTTCTTCTTGAACAGAATCCACCATCTGCTCAAGTTTCTGACCGCCAAAAGCTTGCGGCGATGCTGCGCTCTCCGACGAGCCAGTACAGCTGCGCCAGGTTCATGCCAGGTTGCATAGCTAAGCATGCGTACGGGTATATGTCAAAACAAGTGGACCCCCAAACTGCGTGCTTTCGCCTTGGTTTCCCATCAGCCAACCCCAGAAGCAGTACTCTCAAGGCAAAAGCACCCAAGCGATTTGCCGCTGCGGACCAGTCCTTCCCCAAAAAGTTGTAGAATGCCCGGAGAATCGCATCCTCAGCTGCCAGCACGCGGAATCGCAAACGGGCACCACTCACTGCTCCCACCTGCTGGAGCAATTCCTGCTCTGCCCGGGCCAAGGCGGCGCCTGCTCCAGTCAACTCAAGTACTTCTCTGCCAACCGGACTTCATCTCCGGTGTGCCGTTTTTTTTCCGACCCCCGCTCGTTGTGGCTTTCCTTTTGGTGTCTGAAATTTGGAGACCCAAAGGACCCGGCAGTCCTCGGCCGGACGCGCGCCGCGCCACATCCTCCCGCTTCAGGGCGGCGTTCTCGCAGCGCAGCCTCAGGCCACAGGGAAACCCACGGAAAACACGGGGTCCATTCAAATAGCATTCCAGCCTCCGGTGGGAATCAACTTGCAGGCTTCCTTTTTTGCGGGTGACATCCTACCCTCATAGGAATGTGCCGAAACAGAAAGATTTGGACCCAACAAATGGGACATCCCTTTGCGAACGGCATGAGCCTTGCCTGTTCTGCGAGTTGAGCAGCGATGCCACCTGCCAAGTCTTACGATTCCCAATCTGGTTGCATATGCCAATCCCGCAACACGTCTAACTTTGCAAGATGCCAAACGTTGGCACAAAAAGAAGAACTTGACATGTGTGGCTCATGGTCAGCAAAGCCTTTTGACATCCTCATTCCATGGCTTTGTCTGGAAGAAGAAACTTCTGAAATGGATGGCGTCCTTTTGCCCCGAAACCAATGCACAAATCCACAATGGTCAAACAAGGAATTAAACAAACGTGCACGGTTCAAAGAACTGCTGGATTAGGCGACGCTAGTGTAAATCTCGTTGGTAGAAATCCTCGAAACGGGAAACCGCCAGGCAATCAAAAACAGGAGCTCCACACAAAACTAAGGTAGCAATCCTCCGGCGGGAAATCTCACAAAATAGCCCACTTCCTTGAACCATGCGCCCCATGGTTCAGACATATGTTCCCTATTGTTTGGGCTGCCACGAAACCAGCGCAATTTCGGCGCATTTCGGCGAACCTTCGCGCTTCGCCCGCAGTCCCTCGCCATCGCGCGCGGCCTTCCTGGCGTGCAGCTGCTCGGTGGCATCCAGCGCCCGGAGGTGCGCCTGTTGGATAGCCCCGAAGGCGTCGCAGGGTACGCTTGTTTGAACGCTTGGGGGGTTAAGGAACAGATTGAAAAAGAGAAGAAAAAAAACTTCACCCCCTCATGGCTGGGGGATCTTTTTAGCGGAATGTCCCAAACTAAAGGACCACTAAACTCCAGCTTGACTCAGATATGCAGGCATGCCGGGTTCCCTGGTTCCCGACGTTTGTTCATTAGCAAGCAGCGAAGCAAATTCCAGCACCATCAGCAAGGTAGGATTCCCCCGTTTGGTTGGTTTTGCAGGGAAATTAAATTCGGAAGATCACAATTTGTGGGCATCCCCAAAAAAGGAAACAACACACCCCCAAATCGAGTACCACGAAACCCAACTTCAGGGACCACACAGTCCATCCGAGGCGCCGCCATCCATGGCCGGAAAGCCGTCCGAGTGAGGGGAGTCTGTGTTTGGATGGAATCTGAAACATAAAAGTCTCAAATAGGGCTGGTTTTCCAAAAATGTGAAAAGTGGAAAACATGTTTTCTGAGGTTTGAAGACAAAACACAAAGAATCCCGCATTTTCTGGTGACGGTGTACCCCAACTGTTGATGCCAAGCCGCGGGTACCTTTGGACTGGGGGAAGGATCCAACACACGGAGCCTGACGATAAGCAAGCGAGCTCTGGTAGTTCTTGTTTGGGGAAAAAACCGCTAAGGAGAATTGAAAAACAAATTCCAAGACTTGGACAATGATAAACAGATTTCAATTTGACGGTGTCCGAATAACTTGCATGCTGTTTCGGCTCTCAAGGCCCAAGATGTGCAAAACGGAGAGGCTACTAAATGAACGAAACGCCGCGCAAATGTGACAGGTTTTGCACCCGTCTGCCTCAAACGCGTAAACCAAATCATGTTCAAGACGAAGCTACAGAAAGGTTTCAACTTCGCAGCCATCCGTCTAGCTCTTCGCGCAAACCGCTAATCTGCGCTAAACGCGAATTTCGGTGTTCCGTGTCTTGCAATCCCATCCCAAACTCCAAAACCGTGGCAAACTGTTGCCTGCCATGCGGCAAAAAACTTCACAGGGCCCTACGCACGCAAGTCCAGCATGGCAACTGCCCGGCATTCTCACGAACTGCGATTCGGGCACGAGCCTGCGCCCAGGCAAATGGTTTTACGGGTAAACAAGCCACAAAACAAGGCCCCTAACCAACCAATCCCCAGTCCCAAACACCCAGGGTTCCAACGTACCAGCAAACCACAACACCAAGAAAGTAACAAACCAAGTAAAAAGGAAAATGGATACGCGCGCGCTGAGCCGACGATGAACCGCACGGGCGAAACCCACCAACCTGCCGCACGAAGATTCTCGACGTGAGGACCCGGGAACGCCCATCCGAGGTTGCGACGGATCCGGACACTTGAGCCAGAAGTCACCGGTTAGTCGCTAACGCAACATCCCGAATGACACTTGCAACACATGGCTAATCACACACCCCTCACCAGGAGTCCGTCTTCGACGGGCGGAACGTGTCAGAACTGATAGGAATCAAAGCTCACATCCGTCCGCAAACAGCAGGACAAGGCCGCGATGGTGGAGCAATTCCAAACGTTGATACACGACATCCCGGGCATTAACTTCCCGCCACCAACCCGAATTAATCGGGTCAACGTGAACCAACGCCCAGCCAAGCCACTACCGTTTGCATCAGAAATGCAAGCTTGTACTCGTATCCGTAGTCATGTGAGTAATGAAAGTCCTTTCGTCGCACACCTCAGGCACTTTGATACGTCCCTCAAGTCTTAAACATTGCATGCCAAACATTAACCCCTATCAGCAGATAAAACAGACTGAAACACGCTGGAGAAGGGAACCAAGCTACCCCAAAACGAACACATGATCCCAAAAAGGGAGTGGAGGGAGGGGTTGAAAAAGCAAAACGCATCGGTCCAGCTAAGCCTATGCGTAACGCTGGCTGTTGCTGGAGCATACATATTGCATACGCACACAAGTTGAAACACCTGTGGGTAAACACAAAAACTGTTCAAACTTGCTCAGCGATAATTCATATAGGACAAATTCATAGGACAATTGATAGGACAAATCGATGCCCTCCGCCGCCAAAAACAACGGGCATGTTCTGAAGCATAGCATGGCCCAAAGGAAAGATACTTGAGCAAAAAAGGATCAATCGAAAACAACTCTCTGCTCTCTGACCGCGACGGCGAGTCGGGAGAATCTCCTGTTTGCACACAAGAATAGCATCGCTGCCAAAGCAAACGATGGCAATGGGGGGACAATTTGTTTTGGGCTGCGCTCCTTGCAGCCCAGGCTGCTGAGGCGCTGGCTTGGATGCTGCGCCCTGCGTTGCAACGGAGCGCGCTGGCGGTGACGCAAAGCATGAACTCTCTAGCCTGACCGTCACGGATGGCCAAAACCGCGCTGCTGGTACAAACTGGGCCAGGACACTGCGCCATGCGCCCTTGTGACGAAACTAGATGGGCTGCTGACGCCGGGTAAGTTAAGACCTGTTGCACTGCTCCTAGCCTGAACCCAAACAACCTTCACAAAAGGGAACCCACGAAGCGAGAAGAGCGCGGATTCCTTTTTAACCGGGTTGGTGGAAAGCGCACTGCTTCTAGGGTACGCGGTGCACCTAGAGCAGGCGGCATGTTCGCCCCTCCTTCAATTTTTCCCACGCAACCCCGGTAAGGCACAGCCATAGACCTCGACCGGCCTGCGCAAGGCTGGCAGGGCTAAATCGCACCTCTGCTGAGGTCATCGGCCCATTCATTGTAGCGCCCTGGCAAATGAGTGGGCTGCAGTAGCACATTTTGCGCATGGGCCCATGATGCGATGAGCTGCACAAAACTTTGCGAAGGCCAAGATGTAGTAAACATTGTTAATGCCTGCCTCTGTTGCGAAATTGTCAGTGCCTGAAGGCAGACTGAAGGAGTAATGTCCGCCGCCTATATGGCTATGTGTGGACAGAGTGCTAGTTGCGCAAGAATTTCGAAACACGCAATGTAACGCTGCGCTGGTTTCGTAAGGCAAAGCCAGGCCAAGCGGACTTCACGCATGCTCCAGGTTTCTGCAAACCAGACCACTTGCGAGGAGGTGACACAATGTCCTCTTCAGCGCAAGCATCTGCGGCTGCAGCTAAAGGCTGAATGGGGGAATTAAAGCAGGATCGCCAGTATCAAGAGCGAATGGAGGCCAAGTCGACCAAAGCAGTCCGATCCGAGCTGCTCTAGTTTTTTAGCTCGCCTTGCAGAAACGCAGCTACGAGGCAAATTGCAAGCATATCTAGGGGTCGTTATGTTGCAGCCACACGCCTGCGCGCAGCATTTTAGATTTCGAATCCTTCGCAGGACGAGGTCGTTTCCTGGACGGACGAGTGCCAGGAGCCTACCAGGTGGAATAGAATCCATTTGGGAAACCCCCTCTAAAGAGAGAGCCGCTCGTGGGGCGTCTTGCGCAGCGCAGTGTGTCTTGAGGTTTTGCTTCCCCACTCATTCAAAATCTTGATGCTTTGGGCCTAGAAGAGATCGCTCTTGCCCCGTCGTCGTGTGTGGAGCTGGGCCCCAGAGGGGAGGAGTGGCTGCTTTCGCGTGTTTTCTCAGTTCTTATTCCATTATCCAGTTCTTATTCAGTTCCTATTCCAGTTCTTATTCAGTTCTTATTCACGGTCTTGCTGGCAGGCCACAAGAAACAAGCTTTTTGTGAATCGATTTTAAAAAGCAAAAACATTCTCTCTTTTTGTGCAACTCACAGAAAGCTTGGTTCTCGTGGCCCTGCCAGCAAAATCGTGAATACAAACTGGAGTAAGAACTGGAATAAGAACTGAATAAGAACTGGATAATGGAATAAGAACTTAGAAAACACAGCAAAAACAAGCGCTCCTGCTTCATGTGCAACTGGCGCCAGTGTGAGAAGTCATGAAGCGCGCCAGCGCGTGTTTAAGCTTGAGCGTCTGGAGGCGCCTATACTAGTAAGGAAAGAAGGCTTACTCCCTAATTATTTTCGTTTTTTTGCCGAAAACCCGCCAAAACAGCCAAATTCTCCATCCTGCTTTCCGATGTCACCGGTCGATGTCACCGCCTTTTGGGCCGCAAAAGTGCTCAAAACGGCCAACTTCCCAATTCCCGAAAAGCACGTTTTTTCCCGTCAGACGGCAAGCAAGGTGCCTCAGCCTCTAGATTTGCTCGTTTTCGGCGAAAACAGGCCAGACGCGCACGCTGCTCTCGATTTCCGTTTTCTGCCACGGAAATGCTGGCAAGTTCCATCCCGCTAAGCTTGTCACCCTTGTCACCGCTACGTCACCGCTCTCTTTTGGACCGAAAAAGTGCGCAAAAACGGCCAAGTTCCCGACTTTCCGAAGACTTCGTTCTTCACACGATTTTCTGCTTTTCGCCCAAGCACGGCAGCCTGCCGAGGCTCATAACACGGCAACCTGGCCTTCGTCACCGGGTCTAACACGCCAACCTGCCGAACGTCTAGAGGGACTTCCAGGGCTCGAAATCTTGGCAAGTGAATCAATCTTGAATCGGCTTGAAACAATATTGGTTCATTTTTGGGCAAAGGTTGCCCCGAGTGGGGTAGGCGGGATTCGAGCCCCAGACCAGGATGTCCTAAACATGTTTGAAGGACCTGTCACCGGGAACATCGGAGGTTCTCGGAGAGGTAACGGATGCACGCACTTCACCGCAGGGCAGCTTGCCCTCGCTCTCAGGCCCGACGCCCAAGTGCAGCGTGCGGGGCCTCCGGTGCCTCGTGCTGCGTGCTTTCCTCCTCTTGCACATCCTCTTGTTCGGTCAGCTCCGTCCTTTAATTATCAAGATATAGGACGAACGACACGGACGAAGCCGACGTTCCAGGTAGGTCAGCCGGGTGACGGGTCCCCTCAGGGCCATGAAGTGCCCGTCGTCCGAGCCCGTCTGATGGTGTCCACGCCGCTCTTCAGCGTAATCTTGGAGAGGATGTCGTCACCCAGGCACTTGGCTGGCGTTGGCCAGCTGGGCGCAGCGCAGGTAGACCTTGTTGTGCGCCAGCATCCGGACGAACTTGAAGACCTGCTGCCCTCCCGAGACGAAGCTCGGGCCCAGCATGTGGTCCACGCTGAAGGGCTTGGTCGGGGAGGCGGGCGGCGCGGCGGGGTAGTCCTGCGAAGAATTCGAAATCTAAAATGCTGCGTGCAGGCGTGTGGCTGCAACAAAACGACCCCTAGATATGCGGTTTATCAAAATGCCCCGCAGCTGCCTTTGTTTCTGCAAGGCGAGCCCCCTCAAAGGATACCCTGGCTGGTTTTTTGGCTGGCTGGCTGGTTGGCTTTTTGGCTGGTTGGCTGGTTGGCTGGTTGGTGGTTGGCTGGCTTTTGGGCTGGCTGGCTTTTTGGCTGGCTTCTGGCTGGCTGGTTGGTTGGTTGGCT